CTGACCTGATCCCTGGCTGGCCCCTTCCATGTGTGACGTCATGGGCAAGGGGGCTCACCCTCTCTCAGTTTCTGTTTCTCTCATAGCCTGTCCCGTGACGCAGCTTTGAGGAGCAAGTGGGCTTTGAACAGCACTTCACAAGCAGGGTGACTACAAGGAGAGCTCATGTCTTAAGTTTTTAAAGATTTATTTTTAAAAAGTAGTGTTAGAGATTGGGAGGGAAAAGAGAGAGGGCGATCTTCCACCCATCGGTACGCTCCCCAAATGGTGTCCATCAGCGGGGCTGGGCACAATGGAAGCCGGGAGCCAGGAGCTACCCAGACGTGTGCAGGGGCCCAAGGACTTGGGCCATCCACCACTGCTCTCCCAGGGAGCTGGGTAAGAAGTGGAGCGGCTGAGTCTGGAGCTAGTATCCATCTGGGTTGCTGCCACTGCAGACAGTGGCTTTGCCCACTGTGCCCTATGCCATCCCCTCAATCTGTTTTGACCCCCAGCATTGTACACGACTCCTGATGGGTGTGCTGGGGAGGTTTTCAGGCTCAGCCCACCCTTCAGATGAGAGGGAAAAGAGAGGAAGAAGCAGGATCCTACCACTGCGGGGCAAGGGCCGGCACACTTCACGCTCCCTCCCAGCCTCCTCATCAACCTTCAATGGATGAACACATCAAGGCCAGACAATACCCAGAGGCCTTGGGACCTCTGTGGGTTTAGAACCTTTTAGGAGGTTCTTGACATACGGCTACCTCTGGTCTTTTACTCAGGTTACAAACTGTATCAGGTGACCTGGCTGGCATTTCTAGGAGTCAGGTGTTTGGAAGGAACTGAAGATGGGATTCGTTTTGAGGATATTGTTCCTCAGAGTTGGGAGCTGTGTTTTCCACTAACAAGCAATGCCTTTAAAAGATTCCAAACTTTCCTCTTCACCTTTGTAACTCTTCTTGGAGGATTTGATTTATGCAAGGGGCCTGGTGCTATGGCATGGTAAGACCATGTCAACATTCTGTATGGGCAACAGTTCGATCCTCCACTTCTAATCCTGCTGCCTGTTAATGTGCCTGGAAGGCCGCATAGGGTGGTGCATGTCCTTGAACCCCTGACCCATGTGGAACACCTGGAGGAAGCTCCAGGCTCCCAGCTTCGGATTGGCCCAGCTCTGGCTTTCGAAGCTATTTGGAGAGTGAACCAGCAGGTAGAAGATCTCTCTGTCTCTCCCCCTTCTGCTTTGATTTTCAAATGCATAAATACTTTTTTAAAATAAAAGTAATGCAAGATACAGACCAAGATTTACTCATGAAAATGTTCATCTTGGAGTTATTTATAACAGAAAAAAAATCATCTGACTTCAGACTCTGTCACTGGGGAAAAAGGGTTGAGCACGGCATGGGGTGTATCTCTTCGTCCCATTTTTTGCAAAGGAAGAATCTGCAAGAATTGCCCACGATCTAACGTCACACAGGAACGAAGCACAAACCTGGGTTAACTTTGCAGCATGCTAGGATCTGGAGAAGCAAAAATGTTCCTGCAGAAATGGACAGAAAGAGTGAGACTCTGGGGACTTCTCCTTGCACATCATTGGTGTTCGTCCCTTTGAAACTCTGCTAGAGACAAAAATGGTGTGTGGAAGCCAGTGCCTTGCCCGGAGTACAGCCAGCATTCTCAGTGCTGGGCGCCTGCCTCACTGCCTCCCCTGCGGGCAAGAGGGAACAAGATGCCAGTTCTGCTGGTCACACGAGGATGTGCAAGGTGGGCTCTGCACCTCCAGTTATCCCACGCTCTGGACTCCGCAAGAATCGCTGTCTTCTTGGGATTTGCTCAACATCCAGGACCCTTCTGTCCCGGTCCCTCAGGCAGGTGGACAGCTGACCCCAGCCTCGGCCAGAGCTGCCACCCATACTCGCCTCTGGCCAGGAACTGAGGGAGGGACACAGCCAGGGCTCCTGTTCTCCCCAGCTTGCATCAAAGGGAGCTTTTGGGGAGGCCCAGGCTTCCTGAACCCACTTGGATCTGGCAATGGACATGGGATGATCACACATGTAAACACACACACACACACACACACACAAACACCATGCTTGCTTGTTAAGGGGATGTGGAGGAGGGGAAACAAGCAGGAATCGTGTATGGATCTGTGCCTCGAAGGACACAAACTCTTTCCAGAAAAATTCTGTTTCACTAACTATCTCCTAGCTGAGCTCCTGGAACAGATAGCAGATGCTGGTGAGAAGGCATTGGAGTCACAGAAGTCTGGCGTGCAATGGGCAGCCCTGCCCCCCTGGTCATGGCCTGCAGGTGACATAGGAGGTGAACCTGGGGGGCGGGAGCGGGCAGCCGGGGAGCACTCTGTTCTATCTTGGCAACTGTTTTGTAAATGCAAAATTATCCCCAAATAAAAATTTCCTTGAAAAATCTCATTCCAAAACTCTGAATTGTTTTTGAAGAGTGAAACTAACAAATGTGCCATTCACTTCAACCTGTTTTCCTTGAGACATAGTGTATGCACAGTAATTCACGGAAATCTTTTTTAAGGCTTATTTATTTTTATTTGAAAGACAGAGTTACAGAGAAAGAAGGAGACAGAGCAAGAGAGAGAGAGATCTTTCATCCATTGGTTCACTCCTTAATGGCCACAGCAAGCAGAGCTGATCTGATCTGAAGCCAGGAACCAGGAACTTCTCTTTTTTTTCCATTTTTTATTACATTCCTGACAATCTTTACATAGTTAATTAGGGTAAAAAAAAAAGTTCACAGGCTACAGGAAAATGGATAAGAGTATTATTTCCATATTGTTTCCTTCATGTATCTGAGGTAAAGGGGGATTTTAAGGGAGAAGCCCCACCCAGTCTCCCACCCATCCCAGGCCCTGATGTGGGGTGTGCTCCGAGGCTCTTGCTTAAGTGGTTTTGATAGTTCAACAGTTATGAATTGCTGCCAGTCTCGCCACTCCAATCATGATAAAGTTGTTGAAGAATCCACTGATTGACATAGTCCATCATAGAGTCTCCATTTGCCCAGTTTTTTAATGCCAACATAGAGCTGAAGTAGTTGATTGACTTGTTCTGTCCTCTGTATTTTTATGGCTAGGGTTCTGAGTCCAGCAGTTCAATTGAGGGGATCCCCTAAGAAACTTTGTCTGAGGTGTTCCCAGACCAGATTCTTGTATGTACCAGCAAGTACAGGGCCCGGCACAGTCCATCTCCCCAATCAACTGGTGGTTGCAATTGCTGGGTCAGTTCTGTTTCCAGCCCTGTCTTCCACTGGAACCAATGGGTGTTGCAGTCCAGCCTGGTTCTTCCCAGCACATGCTCGGCCCTCACATAAACCAGTGGGAGCTGCAGCCTAATCGGTGCGAACCACAATAACCCCCACCAGGCCCCACCCCAGATCCTGGTTCCCATGCTTGCCCTTATGTGCAACAGACTAGTCCAGTCTGTCCCACATCCCATTCAGCTCTCACACATGTCAATGGGCATTGAAGCCTAGTTCCATCTAACCAACTCAACTGTCCAGCCCTCACAGATGTTGTTGGGTGCCTTTGTGCCTAGCTACCCCAGCCCCTGTCCCTCCCCTTCCTCTTCCTCCCCCTCCTCTTCCTCCCTCCCTCCTCTCCCTCCCTCTCTACTTGCTAACATTTTGTTAAGGATCTTTGCATCAGGCATCTTGATCTGTTCTCTTTTCTTTTTTATTTTTTAAACTTATATTGTTATTATTATGTTCCATGATACAGTTTTGTGCCTATAAGGAATTAACCCTTACCCACCCCTTCTCCCCCTCCTCTTTTCCCCTCCTACCCTTTTCCTCATATTATAGTATAGTCCGTTAGTTACTATAGTCCCCATGGTATAGTCCTTTAGTAACAATTACTAGCTTAACATTCTACTACTTAAGTGTCTCATGGCATTATGGGTAAAGGCAAAGGCAGAAAATCTAGTATCCTATTGTCAGGGGTATTTAACTGTTTTGCTAGAAGTCCCCCTTTTATCTAGGAAGAAAGACGCATACTGCAACATGTCTTCACTTCCCAGTCTTCCTTACACAGTTCATGTATGAGAATGTATGTGTATAATTGATTGCCTCTATAGCTATTTGTTATGTATTTTGCATGAAGGTTGTCTAATATCAGAGAGAACATACTAGATTGGCTCACTTCACTGAACATACTGGACTCCAGTTGGGACAAAACTGTAGAATCCCATTGTTCCTAATGGCTGAATGTTATTCCACAGAGTAGATGTACCACCGTTTCTTTGTCCAGTCCTTTTTTGACGGGCATCTGAGTTGTTTCCACGTCTGCACTGTTATAAATATGAGGTTGAAGGTCACTTTCTCATTTGCTGATGTCACTTCATTTGGATATATTCCCAGGAGTAGGGGAGCTGGGTCATACAGTAGATCAATTTAGTCATCTAGTGAAAAAGTATCTTGTGGTTTTCACTTACATTTCCCTGATGACTTTCAGTGTTGAGCGTTTTGGGTGTGTTTAGAAGCCGTTAAGATTCCCTGCTGTGTGAAGGTCCTGTTCAAGGTCTCACCCATTTTATCAGACTGTTTTTCTTACTAATTTGCTGGAGCTCCTTGAGTTATGTTCAATACAGTCCTTTGTCAGAGGTAGGCATTACAAATGTCGCAAGCCACGACTTCTCCTTCCATTCTCTTCATTGTACCTCCCTAGCATTAGGAAGGCTTCAGAGATAGTCTATGTCGCTGCTTTCTTTTTATTGTGTTTATTTGAGAAACAGAGTTACAAAAGGACAGAGATCTTCCATCCGCTGCTTCACTCCCCACGAAGATACACAGACACGCGTGGACACAACTTGAAGCATGAAGTAGACACACATAGACAAAACAGGGATACACGCATGGACAAAGACACACAGATGCATGACATGCATGCACACACCCTGGTGCCCCCACCCTGTCCTGGCGCCTCTCTCCCCAGCTGCTTCCCACCCAGGACCATGGGGAGGCAGGCGGGCAGGGAGGCCTGGGCACTCGCTGCAGGCTCACTGGGACCCAGACAGAGTGGCAGGGAAGACCTGCTTCAGGGTAAACAGCAGGAATATGACCTCCTCATAATCCCCGGACTCATACAAGCACCCAAAGAGGGGCGACCCATCAGGCCCAGGTCCCATGCTCTGCAGATCTGAGTAGGCGCTGATGCCCTGAGCCAGCAGAGCGGGCTGCGACCAGGCGCCAGGCTCAGGCGGTTGCTGGTTGAGGTAGGCGCCTAGGTTGAGCCTGTGCTGGGGATCAGTGGGGTGCGTGTAGAGCAGCCACTGCTCCGAAGAGCCCGGGCCTGCTGTGGGACGGGGGAAGCTGACCACACTCCCGTGACAGCCATGCGGCGGCTCCACCAGCTTCCTCACAGCCTGAGCCTCCTGGAAATCCAGCCCACCGTTGGCACTCTGGGCCTGGACCCTGGCCCCATGGGGACTCCTGGCATTCAGATACAACAGCCCCTGCCCCTGAGCCACAACTTCTGCCACCTGACACTCCAGCGTATTCGGGGCCACAAAGTTCCCCATCTCCCACTTGAGCCCATGGTTGCGGCTGAAGAAACAGAAGGCATACGGGGTGGGCTTCTGGTTGGGGGACAGGTTCCGGTACGCATAGGCAGGCACCACCAGGCTGCCGTCCTGGAGCTGCAGGGAGTGCCCAGGGCCCACCGCAAAGGTGGCCCACTCCTGGTGGGCCCGGCCGATGACAGAGCCGGTGAGGTCAGTGACAGAGCTCCAGGTCTTCCCGAGGTCAGGGCTGGTGATGTAGCACAGCCGAGTGGCATTGACCCGGCTGTGGAGCTGATGGTTCTCTGACACCTGCCCAGGAACGGCGATGAAGAAGAGGAAGAGAATTCCTGTGTGCTCGTCATACAGCGGACAGGGGTTCATAGACCGGTGGCCCACCAGCTGTGCATGGGACACCACTTCCTGTGCATGCCACTGTGTGGGAGGAGAGAACAAGAGACATGCAGCTTTGGGGCTGCCCCAAAAGGCAACTGGATTGGAGCTATGCGCGCTGCACCGCTCCAGGCCTCCCCACTGCGGCTCCCTGGGAACAAGGAGCCGCTTGCTTCCCCCAAGGCCACCTGCTCTTTGCTGGTGTGGCTCTGTCCCTGCTTTTCTAGCCCTTTACATTCACACAGCTCCCACACAGGGCCCTGATGCAGCAAAGACCTGGCCACAGACATTCCAAGTTTCCTCCTGACTGCGTCTCTCCCTAGCCCCCTCCAGCTCACTGTACTTGGGGAGCGATGCCCTGCTCCACGCTGCGGCAGCCTGAACAGTGCCAGACACCATATACCGGCTGCCTTCCTTCTTGCACACGCCACACTCTCCTAGGGCCCCAGTGGTCCGTGTGGAGCTCCCACCATCCCCAATTTGGTGTCATCTGTTCCACAGCTCAGCACAATGGGCACCGTGCCAGCCTGATTTTCTGTGTCTCACCCATGCCCCTGCCCCGCCCCTGTCCATGTGAAAATGGACAGGCTTGGAGAGAGAGGATGAGTCCCCAAGTCCACCCTTCGGGTAAGCAGTGAACCAGGACTTGGACCAGGTCCATCTGCTTCAAAGGGCCTGTTTTGAACAACAGTGCAGTAGCAGCCACAAAGTTGTGAAAGTAATGGCTAAAGTCCTTTGGATCAGGCAGGTGCAGATGGGCCAGGGCGGTGATCCTAAGGGAGCGTTCGCCCAGAGGCACCTTCTAACCCCATCCCTTGCCAGTCCCATCTTCAACCTGTCTGTCCTCTCGATCCGCCATGCCTCAGCCACTGAGGGATGGCGACAACCCACCCTCTGGCTCTGCAAGCATGTGCTGCAGCTGCCCCCCAGGAGCCATTGCAGCACGCCCCACCCTGCCTCACCTCGACCTGATGGGGGCACGTATCGTAGTTGCCACAGCACAGGACGATGAGTTCGGCATGCTCGTCTTTCTTGCTGCTCCGCTGCTCCACAAAGGCCAGCAGCGTCTTCTGCCGGGGCAGGCAGAGCAGAGCGGGGATTCTGTAGACATAGTGTCCCGACTGGAACAGGGTGTGCCTCTGCAGAACGGGGCAGGTGGCCATGAGGCTGGAAGGGAAGACGAGTCAGTTGTAGCCACACCTGATACAGAGCGGGGACCGTCCACCAGGACAGAGCACCTGCACCCCTACTCCGTGGGCTCAGCCATGGTTGGCTGGCCTGTCTGTCCCTTCCTGGAGACTGCAGGTGCCTCCCTGTGGAACTGGCCAGGCTCAGCCCATGAGGCATTCCGTAAGTGAATCCCCTTTCCACAGCTTTGTGATAACTTCCAGCTGCTTTTGCCAAATCCCACATGTTAGTAGGCTACTCCAACCAGCTGGGACAGCAGGGTTTGCTGAGGGTATCCTGTAACCTTCCAGCTGCCTGGAAGGACATGTGAGGGTTTTTTTTATAACTCTGTAGGCATAGAAAGTTGTTTTCGGTTGAGGCTGGCGGTAAGCCTGGTTTTCAAGCCTCTGCTGCACCAAATACCAGGAGCTGAGGCCCAGCTGTTTCCCTCCCATCCCGAGGCAAGCAGTGGTGGTGACAGAGGCTGCTGGCAATCTCGCCTGGGCTGGGAGGAGTCCCCACAGGCGTGAGAAAGTAAAAGTAAAATGTCAGTATTTGTCTCTGAGGAGTAGGGAGAATACATGGTGAGCCATGAGTAACAGTGGTGGTGTCCCCTTGGGGTTGACCAGGGAGTACTGGCTGCAGACTGAACCCTGGGGAGGATGGGTCGATGGCACGCAGCTGCAGCACCTGGCACCCGAGGGCATCTGTGGCTTGTAGGGCCAGCCCACCCTGTCCAGCCCACCCTGCCCATCAAACCCAGGCGGTCCCTTGTCCTGATTGGGACAGACCAATCCAAACCCCCTGGGGGCTGAATGAGCTGCCCCCTCACCCATCCTGCTACCCAACCCTCCCTGCCACAGGTGCTCGACCCTGGGAGCTCCCTGAAAACCTCCTGCTTGGAAATTTCCCAGCGGGAGCCAGCTTCCAGGGCAGGTTGGGTTGGTAGGGGGTAGGCCCACAGCAGACATGACCTTCGGAAAGGAGAACCAGGAAAGGGGGGTCAACAAGGAGGCGAAGGGGTCTTCCTCTGAGCACCTGCTCTCAGAGGCTGGAGTTTCATCTCCCAGGAACTGCTCTCCGTTTAAAACCACATCTACCACCCATCCATATTACACATCATTATGACGAGTACATAACAAAACAAAACAAATAAAAACCATGATGTGAGGGAATAAAAGGTTTTCTTGTTGAAACACCACTGGAAGGGTGAAGTCTTTATGCTAAGATCTAGAGCAGCAAGCCAAAATCCGAGAAAAAAAAAAAAAAAAAGCAAGGCTCTGTTGAAAAATGGCTATGAAATGGAAATGGAAAAGACTCAGACAAGATTAAAAATCCCAAAAGTGGAGAAGGAAGATGCAGCTTGACAGCTCAGAAAACCCCTCGAGGCTTTGCTCTGGCTCCGCCCCGTCAGTCTGTCCTGGGAAGCGTGTCCTGCGTTGGAGTCAGATCAGCGATTATGTGGAAAGCGTGCTTGCACCAGCGCTGTCCGGCCTTCTCCTAACGAGCTGTCTGTAAACGGTGCTGTGTGGGCCAGGTAGAGTCAGCCCAGAGCAGCCACAGATAACCAAGAGAAAAGCCAGAGACACTGGCAAGGGACATCACAAATCCTGTCTCAGGCTCTGTCCTGCCCGCAGTGGTCATTTCATAGCCAGGCAATCATGTCGTGATGGTGGCCGGCTCTGCAGTGCAGGTGGCTGCCTCCACGCCATGCCTGTGGCCGGCTTCTTTCACTAGCGGGACATTCCTGGGGCTCACTCACACAGCAGCGTGACTCGGTGCGTCCGTCCTATTTATGTGGAGGAGCGGAGTTCCACCATCTGTGTGCACCCCTCCAAACATTCACATTAAATTAATCCCCGGAACAACAATACTGAGAGTGGAGGGTTGGGGAGGGGCTGGTGTCCTAGGGGCTTTGCAGGATGAGCCTGTGAAGGGGAGCTTTAACCCATTCCATCCCTCCTGCCGGGTGGGCACACAGCCCTTCTCTCCAGGATCAAGCAAAGACCTTATTCTGGCTGGAATGCATGACTGGGCCCTCACCAGACCCCCAGCATGCTGTTGCCTTGGTCAGCCACTCCCTGTCCCCTAGAAAGTTCAGAAATGAACACCCATGGTTGACGAAGTATTCTGTCTGTGCTATTTTGTTATAGCTGAGCAGCAGGCCAGACCAACACTGCGTCCTCATCAGTTGACACACAGTAGGTGGTTTCCACTTTGGGGGCAATTCTGATTAATTTTACTCTGAGCTGAGCACCCACATGTGGGCTTTTGCATAGACATTTGCTTTCAGTTCCCTTAGGTGTGCAAGGGACTTCAAAAAGTCTGTGGAAAATTAAAAAAAGAAAAGTTTTCGCAAAAAACAGTTGAAATCCATACGTATAGGTGAACTTTGGAAATTCATGGAAAATGTGTATTATGCAAAAGCTATGTGTGATTTTCAACTATTTTTGCACTGAAATAAAAAAATGTTTAGTCCCCTCTCTATTATTAAAAGAAAAATAGAGTTCTGTGTCTTATTTTAAGGCAGAATGACTGAGAAAGAGGGAGAGATCTTCCATCTGCTGGATCACTGCTTACAGAGCTGCAACAGTCAGGCCCAGGCCAAGCTAAAGCTGCAAGCCAGGAATCCCGTCTGTGTCTCCTGTGGGTGACAAGGGCCAAGCACTTGGGCCCTTTCCTGATGCATTCGCAGGCTGCCAGGACTTGAACGGGCGTGCCAATACAGGATGTTAGGACCTCCAGCAGGGACTGCGCCTGCTGTGTTCCAATGCCAGCCTTCCATGGACTTTCTGAAGTACCCTGGTATTCTAGGGAATGGAATTTTGGGGTCAGATGGCAATGCAGTGTTTGAGATTTTCAATAACTGGGAGGCTATTTCCTGCACCAGTTACCCTGTCTTGTCTTCCCTCGGCAGGTGAGCAGGGCCCGTGTGCTCCGCAGTCTCTTCAACACTTGGCCTGGTGTCTGGGACCGTGGCCTTCTAGGTAGATATGCAGTGAGGCGACTTGTCATGGGTCTGCTCTGTGCCCCTGATGACTAATGCCCTCTCGCCTCCAATGTGCTTATTGGTATGCGAGTCAGATTTTAGCCTGGAGGCCATGAGGAGTTTCAAATGCATTTAGGCAAGGAAGTGACCCAACCAGAAAGAATCTCCAGGAAGTCTTTCTTCCAGTTTCAAAGAATAGGGAGTGGAAGGCGAGTGTGTGTGCCAGTTTTTCAGATGGGACTCAGCGAGTCTGCAGTAACAAGAGCAATGGTCCCCAAGGAGAGCCTTGCTGGGAGAGAGGGCAAACTACCGAGCAAGCAGGAGCACCCAAGCTGAATGCATCCACATTGACTTCCAGAGTGTCCATCCAAGTTCCTCTGTGGACCCCCGACCTCCTTAAGGGCAATGCCAAATCCACTCACTCATGTAGCAAGTAGTGGGTTCCTCCCCTTGCTCCCACGCTTCCTCTAGGAACCAGAGACTAAGTTCCTGCTCAAACAGGACCTTCACCCTGCTGGGAGGGCTCACGACACCCAGCGCCCTGCCTGATGGACCAGGGCCAGACCTGGCTAGCACTTGGCAGGGACCTCTGGAAAGCAGCTGCCCCCGCCCCCAGCCTTCACTGGCGCCTGGCATTAGTAACATTCCAGCCAGTTGCAGTCCGGAAGCGAGTTAGGAGCCAGTTGCTTTCCAGCTGTGGGTCTGCTCCTAGCAGGCTGGCCCCAAGAGCCAGGAGCCTCCCCTCCTAGAATTCTGTCTCCCTCACCTAACAAAAAAGGGAGCCCTGTGAGGTGACCCCCAGCCCCCACCCCCATCACCTGTACAGAGATGAGATTCAGGAGTGGAGGTGGGATGGGCAGGGTACCCAGCGCAACCAGGCCATTGGAGAGAAGGCACCACCAGGCTCAGCTCAGATGGCACAATGGTCACATGGCAGCACTGCGCTCATTCCTTCCTCCGAGGCTGCCACTGGTGAATGCCAGGTATGACCACAACAGGTGCAAGCCAGCATCCCACAGGAGGTAGCTCCCTTCTCCCCACCCAGCCCTTGAGGCTGGCACTCTGCTGAGCAAGCTGCTAAGTGGGTCAGGAGGCCAGGAGTGGGGGCGGAGGAGGTGCTGGATCTCAGGCTGGCTCTGCCGGATTCCAGAGGCCAGGCTATCAACCACCAAGCTGGGTGATGCTGGGGCCTGGGGGTTCTCCCCAAAGACACAGACCTTGCCCATTTTCTCTCTGTCTCCCTGTTGCTGGGCATACGACCTCCTCATAAATCCAGAGGCCTTACTGCCAGTAGGTGTTTGCCCACCTCAGGGAGCTGTTCAGCAACTCACAGCTGAGCAGTGGGCACCTTGGTGTGTCGGCACACAGGTAAGCCGTAGCCCTGGCCTCTGCCCGCCAGGCCTGCACAGGCATGGGAATCACCACGAGGCCCCACACTGCAGCAGCCAGCTACCTGCATCTGGCGGATTGTTAAGTGCTCCAGCACAGCGAGGACGTGTGGGCAGAGGGGCTGCGTGTGGGTGGAAGGTGGCATCAGCCTCTCCCCAGGAAAAACCCAGCAGGGTCAGCAGCTCAGCGCTGCCAGCTCTGTCCCCAGCTGATCCCTGGGCTGCTTCCAGAAGGCTAACCATGCTTCGAGCAGGCCAGGCCAGCAGGAAGTTGACAGAAACAAGGCCTCCTATGCTGTCCACGGGGCTAGGGGCCCAGCAGCCAGCAGAGACTCCTCAAACATGGTGTGTAGCAAGGTCTCATCATTACCTGGTGGCAAGAAGTCTCAACGAAGGAAGAAGGCCGAAGGCAAGATGGGCGAGTGTTCCTGATGAGTGCAAGGGCCTGGGCAGGGAGCCTGACTGGCAGCAGAGCCAGGCTGAGCCGGTCTCCTAGAGGTCCCTGGGATGTGTTTCCAGCCTCACCTGGAGCCTCTGGAGTCCCATGGCTGCATCCATGCCTATATACACCCTCAGGAGTCCCCAGCAACTTGCCGCCCACTCGGCTGGCCAGACACGC